AATGATTCAGCAGTACATGCATACAAATGATTCACACACCTTCACTCAATAGCAGGACCAACCTGTAGTTACCTTACAGTCATTTCTTCCCAGCCCTGAGTGTGTTAGTGGTATTTTTGAAGCTCTGGTTTATAAATAATATGCTTTCTTGGCTTCTCCAAGCATAAAGATACCATGGGCTTTTTACAATAGCATTCCCGTCCTTTCTCAGTTGTTGAAATACTTCCAGTGTCAGTGCAAGACCCTAATCTTAATCACACACCCTTTAAGAAGTATAGTTATTTCTCCATTTACAACCTGCCATTGAACCTACCCTCCTTTGGGACCTCCTTCATTAACCAGCCCTGGAGAGCTGTGAGTGAGCCTAACATAGGTCATTTTGAGCTCCAGCTGTGGAAGCACCTCCTGGAAAAGATTAGTCAAATTCAGTTTGATCACTTTTAGTTCTTGCTTCAACCCTTCTCTTTGCAGTTAAAAGTTTTAATCTTCTAATTAGCATGACATTGGCAACAGCTGTCACTCTGCTCTTACAGCACTGTACGTTTCTAAGAGTGGGAGAGAAATGTAACCTTTCTTTGCCCTAAGAAACATCTTTGTAACAATTCGTTGCAGTTATGGTCAATATACTATCAGGTATAAACATATTCTTCAAATTAGCAACCGTTTTTTTTCTTTTTATTTAGAAGTTGTGTGCGCTCCCCCAAGAATTCCCAATGGGAACTTTAGACCTCAAGGAGACAACTACAAAGAAGGTGATATAATCACAATACAGTGTGATACTGGATATCATTTTAGAACATCAACTGGCAAAAGCACAGCTGAATGCACCAGGAATGGCTGGGTGCCTGATCCAGGTTGTATCCGTAAGTAGCTCTCATGAACGAAGACTCAATGTGTAACACTGTTGGAAATACTTCAGTGAAAAGGAGGTCAAGAGAAAAACTTAAGCAGCATGAGAAATGAGTTGCTTATTCGTTGTGTTTCTTTGTGATGTAAAGCTTCCTTTGATAGTCTGGAAAAATCAGCTGTAGAAACAATGGTATAATCTACATTTACATTACATTATGAGCACAGGTATTAGATATCACTGTATTTGTAAGGCATGTGTTAAAATGTGCTATCGTTAGCTCCCTGTCATGAAGGTTTATGGCCCACCTGAGGATCAGAATACCAGTCAGGGTAAGAGAACATAGTGAGTGTTAAAGCATCCAAACCAAACCAAAACACAGATACTGTTTGAAAAGTATCTTTCATCACAGTTATCACAGGTTTAGATTTTTACTTGCTGTTGTATGTTGATATATCATGAACAATCGCAGCTTCATTCTACCTATTATAACCTGTCAAATAACAAAGCAGAATATTCTTGATTGTTGATGAGTTCTTTCTTGGCTTAAACTTCTCTTAACTACAATGATAGTTTTGCCCAGAAGGCACAGTATTAATGACTAAATAAATAGATTAGCAATTAATTTCATAAGCTAGCACTCTTAGATCTTTGGTCGCTAAAAATAAGAGAAAAACTTAGAGAACAGAATGTGAAAGAAACCCTGATGAAATCTGTCTTGTGAATGAACCTTTGGATAAACTAAGTGCAGCTAGTATCTGTATTAGTCTTTTCTCTATATATGTGCGGGTTCTAAAATTCAGGTGTTATTCTGAGACCCCTCATTATTGAATGGTCTGTCCAGTGGGGGATTTCCCTTACCCCAGCATGAAGGCTTTGGCTTTGTGAAGAAAGCACATGCCATACCCAGGTCGGACACTCTGATAAACTTGAATGAAGCCTTCTGGGAATCTCCCCCTTCTATCCTTGACTTGTCCCTGAGAAAGGTCAGTTCTTTTGAGGAACTGAGAGAGCAAAATAAAAAACACTACAGTTTTAAAATAAAAATGAGAAGAGCTAGGAAGAACTCCTGGTGCAGGAGCCCAAAAGTTACAAATTCAAGTGGTGACAGCAGCCATCTCAATTTTAAGAGTCCACAGTTCAGTGTCTATACGTGAGCTAGCTGTCTGGGCTGCCATCATGGTCAGTATTGTAAATTTAGTTGAGACACTCTACAAAGACAGTGTCATCTCACCATATAGAATAAATACTTAGATTTAGTCTCATGAATTAACTGGGTTTCTGTTGGTTGCATTGGAGTTGGAGGGAAGCAACATAGGCATAAGCACTGACAAAGACACCAGAAAGAGCATGTGATTATTGCTGCACTCCTTAGGATCTGCCAAGCTGTGCAGTCTTGTCTCTGTCAGTTTGGGGAAACCCTCAGGTGATGATGATGAATCTGAACTGTGTCCTGAGCATTTTGTCATGCATGTGTTGATATTGTTGATGTTAAATTCTATTTCAAGAGAAACCGTGTGACTACCCAGCTATAGAAAATGGCAAGTTAAGCAACTCCCTGGAGTACTACAAAAACTATTACTTTCCAATGAGGTTTGGGCAGCACGCTGATTACCACTGCAATACTGGTTATTCAACTCCAAGTGGAAGATTCTGGGTTCGCATGGTCTGTTCTGAAAGAGGCTGGTCTCCAGAGCCAAAATGCCTCAGTAAGTGCATTTCCATTATATGCCCAATTCTGTTATAGTTATCAGAGGTCTGTGCATCAGAAACTGTGCCGATGGAGCACAAGGCGGAACAAAGAACAGTTTGTTAAATAGAACTGCGCTGGTTGACCCCCAGAGCTGCACCCAGACTGTCATCCTATCTGCGGAGCTCAGACTGGCAGCCGGTAGGTGGCGCTGTGAATCGAGTAAGGCTGGAACGCTGCTTTTGGAGTTTGGAAAGTCTTTACTCCTGAGACTACTCCTGGGATTAAGAAATACGTAACAAACACTTCTCTTCTCTGCCTTCTGGGTCACGTGCATGCATCTGCACACATGCAGCTGCACCTACAAGCAGAGAGTTTCTACTCTGTGTAAATAGATACTTCCTTCTGTGGCTTGGGCACTTTGGCCAAAGGCTGCAAATCACTCAGGGCAGACATCAGCATTTTCGAGACAGAGCCGACGATGAAGAGCTCATGTTCATGACTCTAGATGCACTGAAGTTAGCTGGACTTGCTTATGAGCACCAGGGAAGCAATATTGCTTACTAGAGCACTTCTTAGTGCTTTATGTAGTGACTTGCAGTCCTGTTGATGCGACTTGTTAATCTCAGGGCAGTGCAGCAAAACATGCTCATTCCGGTTTGAAGGCAAATGTCTTCTGGGGCTGAAGGCTACAGAAGGGTGCTTGGAGGCCTGTTTCTTGGTAACTGTCTTCCTAAGAATGAATTTACCTGACTTCTTGCTGTCCAACTTACTGTGGTTCTTCCTTCTTTAGAAACATGTCATGTCAGTCACCTGGAAAACGGTTATTTCTCAAGTAGCCAAAACATTTACAAGGAAGGTGAAAGAGTTACATATATCTGCAATGATGACTATCAGACTGAACATGGAGATGGGGAAGTCACATGCACAAAGGGTGACTGGTCGCCTCGTCCAAGATGTATCCGTAAAAGTGAGTGTCCTTGTATTTTGTTGCTTGTTTCTAGCTGAAGGCATTAAATCCATCATTGCATCACCTACATTAATCCATCACCACTGCCTAGTAACTCTAAGTCTAGGTGCTCTACAATTGGAATACAGTGCTGTGATTCTCTCACCTGTCTCCTGCAGCTCTCAGTCCCTGCATGCAGCTGAGGTCAGTCGCTATACAAATGTGCAGAATGTAACCCTGTAAAACGTCCACGTGTGCCTCATTCAGGTCTCTCTAAGCTCTGGGATGGGAGTTACAGTCTCTTTGTCTTCAGTAGTGAAATCTTATTTTAACATCTGCCCAGTAATATAAAAAAGAGTCATCATTTCCCTTGCACGGCCTATCTGTAATGTGTCTTGTTTCAGCATCCCACTATGCCTCCTGACCCTTGTTTCTCTTGCTTCCTTTCTAGTTGGCACCATACTGGAAGGGTGGGGAAATAGGAAGGTTTCCTCTCCAAACACCAGCTTTTGTTCCTAACTTGCACCAAGCCTAAAATTGCTAGAATGTCTCACAGCAACTTTAGGTAATGGTTTCATAGAAAGAAAATGAAGTACAAAAATATTTTTAGGGAAAACATTCCACCCTGAAAGAGACACCAACTACAGAATGTTTCATGATGCCTCCCACTGAGATTTAGACATAGCAATGAGCCAGCAAAACAAAATTTTATGATTCCTAGTGTCAGGCAATTGTGGGCATCACTGGTATAAACCCCCAAAAATTTGACCTGGAATTTAAACTTTCACAGCTCTTGCACTGAAGTATTATTAACTCTGCCCCTCACATTCAAATGTATCCTCAAGTGTTCCTGAAAGTCTTCTTTTTCTTTTCCCCTATCATCTGGAATTACTTGACTCTCTAGTGTCAACTATTGCTATTATTTGTTGTGGCGTTAATTTCTCAAACTGAAGAAACTCAATGGTTTATTAGTAAGGAATTTGGCATCGTGTGGAAGTTTTCTTTCAGAATACAAGACCGGGTCCTATCCAGCCCGGCCTTGAATACTGCCAGGGATGGAGCATTC